GCAGCTCCAGAGTCCACCCCAGATGAACTAGGCGCACCACCCCCAGAGGCAGCACTAACACCAGCTCCAGACCCAGGCTCACCTAAACCCGAAGGAGGCGCACCCTCACCCCCAGACGCAGCACCCCCAGTGTCCGCGCGGCCAGCACCAGCCCCCGGACGACAAGAGTCCTCTGCACCCACCGGGTCAGCTCCAACTCCAGAACCAGAAACTCCAGCTCCAACTCCAGCTCCAACTCCAGCACCCCCAGAACCAGAAACCGGTACAGGAACAGGCGTCGTACCAACCTCTCGAGAGCTAGCACCAGCGGCACGCTGCGAGGAGGACTGTGGGGAGGGAGGCTGTACCGGAGGGGCTACCGAAGGAGGAGGGGTAGCCTGGGACACAACTGACGGGGCTGGACCAGGGGGGGGAGGCTGTACCGGGGGAGCAGGAGGGGGAACGGCAGTCAGGAAGAGAGGGGGGGGAGGAACCGGGAGACCTCGACTGGGGTACCTGACGTAGTACGGAGTGGACTCCTCGAAACGAACGTCACGGGAGTCAAAGAACCGGTGAGAGGGAGGGTGGTAAAAGGTGAAGTCAGAGGAGTCCTCAGGGAAACCAAGGAAGACACAGGGGACGGCACGAGGCGAGAGCTTGTCCGCGGAGGTGTCGCGGACAAGAGCCAAGCACCCCCAGACACGAAACCGCGACGCAACACCAGGGGACCCTGTCCAAAGACTGGTCGGTGAAACCTCTGGTCGAGAGACACGTGGCCAGAGGTTCAGCTGGTGCGCGGCGTACCTGACCGCGTAGGGCCACAGAAAATGGGGGGCACAGGCGTGAGTCAGGGAGGTGCGGGCGATCTCCATGACCAGGCCTATGCGGCGCTCAGCAACCCCATTCTGCTGTGGGGACTCTGGAAGCGTCCAGGACTGACGAATGCCCTGCTCGCGACAGAATCCAGCGAGAATGCCGGAGCGAAACTCACCCCCACGGTCGGAGTGGAGACAGCTGACACGACAACCACGAGTGTCCTCGGTGGTGAGCAACCACCTGATCAGCGTAGAAGTCACCTCAGACTTCTTCGCCAGAGGGAACACTGTGGTGTAGCGGGAGAAGTCGTCAACGACCACCAGAAAGTAACGCTCACGCTCAGGGCCTAGACGAGGGGATGGGCCCCAGACGTCCAAGTGAAGCGTCTCAAAAGGCTCGGTGGCCGGACGAAGGGAGGAGGAGTGAGGGGTGGCGCGCAGCCTACCCTCGACGCAGGGACGACACGGCGGCGCAGGCGAAGGCGGCAGCGACGGCAAGACACGTGGGAGGCCTAGGACAAGACGCTGACTAGACATAGCGCGCAGACGTGGAAGGGACGGGTGCCCCATCCGGTGGTGCCACAGAACGGTGGGGTGGGCAAGCGACCGGCAGGAGCACGACGCAGCGACTGGAACGGACGTAGGAACCTGACACGACACAGACACCTGGGGGGACGTAGCAACCTGGTGAGACGCGGGGACCCAAACGGGGGGGGGAACCGGGGGCAGTGGCAGTAGGGGGGGCTGCTGGTGCGGCCGCTGGTGCTGCTGCTGCTGCTGCTGCTGCTGCTGCGGCTGCGGCTGCTGCTGCTGCTGCGGCTGCTGCTGCGGCGCACGCGGGCCAGTGTGAAGAGTGTAGAGACCCGAGCCCGGCTCAGCAGTAAAGGTAGCAAGAGGCTGGTAAGAGTCTCCGTCAACACACACCGCAGTCTCTTCAGAAGGCTCAAACCACACACCCACGTGCTGGCTCACGAGGGGTCGCACGCCCACCAAGTTCCGGGAGAACGAGGGGACGTGAAACCCAGTGAGAGACCCAGAGGGAGCAGCAGGACACGGTAAAGTGGTAGTGTGACGTGCAGTGACTGGTCCCGTAGTGGGATCAGCCAACGCTACAGAAACAGGCGCAGGAAGTGGTGTAAGTGTCGTGCTGTCCCGAAAGAAGCAGTGGGAGGCTCCAGAGTCCAGTGTGAATGACAGCGAAGCGTCCTCTGAGGTAGTCGCTGGTCTAGAGTCTACACAAGTACCTACACTAGCAACAGGCAACTGAGCAAGACTAGCACCTAAGCTAACAACACCAGAGTAAACAGAGTCAGAAACACTAGAGTCAACAACAGCATACATAGCATGAGGAGCACTAATCAGATCAACTAACTGCTCAGCAGACATGCCCCACAGAGCGGAGCCGTGGCGCTGAACCAGAGGAAGCCAGTCAGGAGCAGGACCGCCAACCCCGTAGGTCAACCGGACCGTGTCAGAGAGCTGAGCAAAGCACTGACCCGGGGGGTGAAAGCGGCCACAAGGGTGGCCCCGACGAGGACCTGTCTGAACGTGGTAGGGGCAGGGAGGGTAAGCAGCACCGCGCTGGGGCTGACGCAGCCCCGACCCCGGAGCCAGCTGCTGACGCTGCTGCTGCTGAGGCTGCTGGGAGGAAAGGGGCTGCTGCTGCTGCTGAAGGTGCTGCTGACGCTGAGCCTGGTACCACGCCGCTGCTCCACCTAGCGGGGTCGGCAGTACAGGAGGCGACTGACGAGCTCGGGGGTCGCCGCCACCAGCAGGCGCAGTGGAGTCACCAGCCGCTGCACGAGGGGTCTCTCCAGACGCTGCACTCCCACCACCGCCAGTCGCAACAGCACCCCCACTACCTCCGCTACCTCCACCTCCACCTCCACCAGAACTACCTTTCTTGCCCCCCTTGCCGCGGGACCGCGACGCAGTCGTAACAGCAGCCGCAGTCGCGTCAGTAGCGGTAGTGGCGAGAGAGGCAGTGAAGGTGGGTAACTGCGGGACTGTGCACCCGTGGAAGAGTGGGGGGGACACAGTACCAGAGGCGGCAGCTACCGAGCGAAGGTTGCTCTCGACGTCCTTGAGTGCAGACTCAAGGACCTCGATAGTCAGCTCACTAGGGTGCTTCAGCAGAAGCGCGTCACGAACGGAGGCTAGGCGGTCAGGGAGGCTAGTGGCGATGAAATAGACAGTAATCGCCATGGGGGGAGGAAGCAGTGCAAGCTGTGCCTCAGTGCAAGCAGCGCGGTAACTAGCGTCGAGCGAGCGGAGGTGAGCGATCAAGTCAGCAGAGTGCTCAAACGAGGCAAGATCAGGAAACAGGAACGGGAGGAAAAGACGGCCGAGAGAGACAGTAGCGGGAGTAGAGTAGCGGGCCTTAATCGCAGTGAGGTACGCAGCAGCGGTGCGAACCTGAGTAAAGTGGACCTCCTCGGACTCAGGGAGGAGGCTGCTGAGTGCGATGCAGGCCGCAGCGTCACGCGACGTCCAAGCCGTCCGGTCAGCGCGCTGACGGGCAAAGCGAGCCGTAGCAGCGTCGTCAGGAGCAGGGCCTAAAGCTGTAGGCTCAGGGGGCTCGGGGAGGTCACCAGTAGCGTGTGACCAGAGGGTCTCGCCCCCCTGGACCTGACTCTCTAATAGACGACGAGCGCGAAGAAGCCAGACGGAAAAGTCAAGGGGTCTACCGTCGGCGTCGAAACGAAGAACTCGCGGAGTCGCCATAGTGAGAACGAACAGGCGAGTAACAACCGGGGGGGGAAGAGGACTCAGTCGCAGCGGAAGAGCGGGCTAGGACGACGGGCCAAGACGTAGGGTAGGGCAACGGGCCAGGGCCTAGGGTAGGGCGACGGGCCAGGGCCTAGGAAGGGCGACAGGCCAGGGCCTAGGGAGGGCGACGCGACGGGGGAAAGGTCAGGGCGACGCGACGGGGCAGGGCGACGCGACGGGACAGGGCGACGCGACGGGGCAGGGCGGCGCGACGGAGCAGGGCGACGGGACAGGGCAGGGCGACGCGACGGGGTAGGGCGACGCGACGGGACAGGGCGACGGGACAGGGCAGGGCGACGCGACGGGACAGGGCAGGGCGACGCGACGGGACAGGGCGACGCGACGGGACAGGGCGACGGGACAGGGCGACGCGACGGGACAGGGCGACGGGACGGGGGGGGGGGTAACAGGCGGGCGCGACGCGACGGGGGGAACGGTCGCGACGCGACGGGGGGGAACGGGCGCGACGCGACAGGGGGAACGGGCGCGACGCGACGGGGGGAACGGGCGCGACGCGACGGGGGGAACGGGCGCGACGCGACGGGGGGAACGGGCGTGACGCGACGGGGGGGAACAGGCGTGACGCGACGGGGGAGATGACGCTAGGCTCGGTACTAGGCGCGGTAACTACGAAACTGGTACGAACGAGAGGTAGGATCAGGCTCGGGAGGTACGAACGGAGAACGGAGGAACGGGATCCCACAGGATCCTAACCTAGCTGATACCATGTCAGAATGAGGAATGAGTGTTGCATTGATGTTGGTTGGGGTACATATGACAAACCCTAACTTCTGTACCCCCTAAGACAAACCTCACTACAGGCTACAACATTTGACAGGTATTTTGTTTTTCGGTTTTTTCCGCCTTCACCTGTCAACTTTGGGGGAACCCTCGTCCGCTTCAATGGGCCGTTGGGGTGGAGCTTTTCGACACCCTGCATGGTTGAGTTCGGTGAAACAAGCCGTCGTTGGGGCGGCCAAATGATTACACTGCCGGCCCTGAGGCCCCACTTGCACTTTGTCGCGACCCTTAACCATTTGGGTGACAGGGCCATTCCAAACGGTTGCATCCTGGAAGCCCCAAAAGCTATCGAACAGGGCCTCTGTGCACTGTCGTTGAGCGCAGTTCGCTTTGGGTTTGGGGGAACTTCCTGTGAACGCCATCTAACTGTCCCACATACCGGTATGCTGACCCTCATGATCTGCAATTTGGCCACAGGCTTTCTACGGAATTGCTCAACAATAGTCAGCGTATGGGTAGTTGTCCACTACATGTGGGACCAGGATGCCCACGGTCACCATATTTTCTCCCTAATTGTCTCTGACAGGGACTGTTCTAACATGCATCATTGTGGGACTTATTTACGAGTAATGCTTTTGAATGCTTAAAACAAAACTTAGTTCAAGAATGACATCAAGATTTCCATAAAATTCTTTTCTACTCCCATTTCTCGGCAACAAGGTTGGCAAGATCCACCACACGCTGGGAGTAGCCCCACTCGTTATCGTACCATGCGACAACCTTCACCATATCGTCACCCATGACCATGGTCAGGGAGGAGTCGATGGTGGAGGACACATCACTGCACCTGAAGTCGACCGACACAAGCGGCTCATCGCAGACAGCCAAGACGCCCTTCAGGGGACCGTTGGCAGCCTCGCGGAAAGCAGCGTTCACCTCTTCCGCAAAAGTCTTCTTCTCGGTTTGAATGACAAGGTCGACAATGGAGACGTTCGGGGTAGGCACACGAAGCGCAATCCCGTTCAGCTTGCCCTTCAACTGTCAAGGGACGAGTAATACTTTAGAACACAAACCAAGTACCACTTGACAGACTTGACAAACGATGCACGAAGACAAACCTTGGGGAGGACAAGGGCGACAGCCTTCGCAGCACCAGTAGAGGTGGGCACAATGTTGAGCGCAGCAGCGCGAGCACGACGCAGATCCCTGTGAGAGGCATCCAGAAGGCGCTGGTCACCAGTGTAGGAGTGGGTGGTGGTCATGGTGCCCTTAACGATGCCTGCAAGGGTACAGATCATCCAGTCAGCTCAATTCGTGCAATAACTATCCAATAATAAACAAAAAATCACTCGCGCTTACCAAATTTCTCCTCAAGGACCTTGACGAAAGGAGCAAGGCAGTTGGTGGTGCAGGAAGCGTTGGAGATGATAACGTCGCTGTGCTTGTACTGGTCAGCGTTCACTCCCACCACGTAGGTAGGGATGTCTCCCTTTCCAGGAGCAGTGATAAGCACCTTCTTGGCCCCAGCCTTGATGTGCTTACCAGCACCCTCGTTGTCAATGAAAACACCGGTACCCTCGATGACGAGGTCAACGCCGAGTTCCCTGAAAAAATGACCAAGGCATCATTAGCTTCCGGTCTTGAAAACAAAGGGAAAATGGAGGACTCGGAATTTAAAAAAAAAAAATGGCTTACGCCCAGGGGAGGTTCGCGGGGTTGCGGTCAGAGACGATGGCAATCTCCTTCCCATCGACGGAAATGGCCTTGTCGGAGACGATCTTGACATCGGCACCGAATGTGCCGAGCATAGAGTCGTACTTCAGCAGGTGGGACGCCTGAAAACAAGCGAGAATGAAAATGATTTCGTGTGCATGGAGCTAAAGAAGCAACAGATTACGCGGTCCCCTACCAACCTGCTTCACTCCGCCACTGTCGTTGATGACGACGACGTCGAGCGGGGAGTCCTTCCTGCCGTGCCAGCAGCGGATGAAGTTGCGACCGATACGGCCAAAGCCATTGATGGCAACCTTGATCTTGGCCTCAGCAACCGCCCGCTTGGCGCTGCTAGAAGCCTGCAAGCGAAAACAGTTACCTTTAACCGAGGCATTTGACGGATTCGATAATGCGGATCACAAAGACGGAACAAAGCCACGTACCACAGAGGTCTGCGCTCCGACACGCACAACGAAGTCATCAGACTTCTTGCCAAAGGTGGCAACGCTGTTGACCTTCAGGCCCTCGAAGTCGCCAAAACCCTTGGCAGCAACCTATACGGAAAGTCAGGAAGTAGAGAAACGTCAGTAAAGCGATCATCCAATGCTCCGGGTCTTAGGCTGCTAAACAATGAAGACTAACAATGAAGACTAAACGCACCAGAGGGGCGCTGACAAACTTGGAGGAGGACATGAGAGCGGCAGCCATGGTTGCCACTGTAATGCTGACAAGATTACGAAACGGATGACTCCTGAAATCGCTTGGTCAGACTTATGACTGCAGAGGCTACATTGCTGTGTGGGAACGAGAGGTTCCAAGAAGGTGATCGAAGATGTCCTTGGAAAACCATTCCTGCCCGAAATTGCCACGGAGGATCACGACTGCCAGGTATTGTCTTTCACTTTCCTGCCCAACCGGCGAATGTTTGTTCGGGCACCACTCGAACATCTTCTGGACCAAGCATCGGTCATGAAGGTGTGGTGCGGGGGCAACTGGAAACATGCGATCGTCATTTGCTAAGACCAGATAAGCTGGCACACGTCATGTCGAGCACACCACGTAGGCATGCGCCTTACGTAATGGCCGCTGCTTTGACGCAAGACTCTCATCCACTCTGGATCAAGATTTTCCTTGGGAATGCCAGCCTGACCAGGAACTGGCGAGCCACACACTCCCAAAAGAGATCCACGTGGACATGCCATCAGAGAACAAAAGGGGTAGATTGTCGTGGGTCCAATAACCCGAACTCGTTACAGGTGCTGCGCTTGCTAGAGCACTCTCAGGTGTGCTCCGTTTCTAAACACAGCCATTCTTGTCAAACAAGCCCTCATTTTCCTGCCACAATCTCGACGTGACACTAGTCGGACCCAACGATGCGCCACCTCCATACCGTCCACCGTTAAAGTGGCGGTCTACATTAGAAGTGACGTTTTTTGGGGGCAGTGTCGATGCACACCCTTTCACGTAGCCTGATTGGAAAGCTGGGTCCACGCGTTTCTGAAACACATGAGCAATGAAGCCACGTGAGCACGCGAATCCAACCCATTTTCTTGCTGACTCATGGGTTCGGGGAAGAGTCCGTGGAAGGGCGGAAACCACTTGAGGAGTTCGATATCGGGGGGAGGGACCTCCACCTCCCTCTCTCCACACGCCATCCCATAAGAAAAGGGGGCCTGCGCGAAAAGCCTGGTCACCATATTTTCAAGTGATAAACCATAGCCTCTCGCTCAAATTATGTAGATCGCAGCTTTAATAGACCTCATCCCCTCACCTGCAAATGTTGGAATCGTCCAAAAAGGCCACAAACTCTGATGATCCCCAAATCACACGTCACACCATCAACAATCGCGCATTCCTAACATTTGTGCTTTTTACTTCCATCGAAACCCGGCATGACGAACCCAAAATCTCCCTCTCAGCGGAAGACGCGTTCCTCAGACGATCACACAACATATATAATCTCCCAATAACTCCTTCAAGGCTTACGTCTTCACACCCGGGGCCATTATGTTGAACAAGAATGAATGAACTAGCAGTGAAATGAGTACAAGTATGAAAAATTAGAAATCTGTACCCCCTATAGGCTAACCCACTGTAGCCTAAACAACTACAACAACATATATAATGTTTGACACACCCCCATAGGCGAAGTGGGGGAGAACTAGGGGTCACAAGACCTAGTCAAGTAAAGCAAAGCAAAGCAAAGCAAGCTCAGGGTGGATCACAACGTCACAACACAATCCGAGCACAAGTTCAAGGCCACAAGGCCAGTTCACATGCAAGAGTATATATATATATATATAAGACTAAACAAGCAAGAGCAGTAATATATATATGTAACAGTACAAAGAGGGTCAAGAGGAGAGCAAGTGAGGCAAGACAGACACAAGACCCAGCTGGGTACAGCAGCGCTGATGATCACAAGGCGGAAGTGCCTTGGTGAAGACATCAGCAATGTTGGCCTAAGAGGCCACGTACGCAAGTCGCAACTAACCACGCTGCTGTAGCTCACGAGCAAGGAAGTAGCGGAGAGCAATGTGCTTTGTTCTGTGCTCCAGTCTCTGCTCTCGACACAAGGCCAGCATGGCCTTGTTGTCGATGTACAGGACTGGAGGAGAACGAGGCGGCTCTCCAAGGTCGGTCAGCAGGTAGGTGAGCCAGCGAAGCTCCTGAGCAGCCATGGCCCCTGCATAGATCTCAGCCTCACAACTGGAGCCGAGAACAGAAGACGAGCGAGTAGCCCGCCACGAAACAGAGCCGGAACCAAGGCTGAAGGTGTAACCCTGTGACGACCGCTTCATAGCCTGGTCATCAGCCCAAGAACGTCTGCGTGTCTAGTGAGGACCACTGGACTCCGCCCTCCAAGCACTAGCCCCATGCCCGACGTACTGCACAAGTAGCGCAACACCCTCTTCGCTGCAGCCATGTGCTCTGGTCGGTGTCTCCCAGGAGCAACATAGCGTGCGAGAATGCTAAGAGGGTATGCAAGGTCAGGTCGTGTGCAGGTCATCAGGTACATGAGGCAGCCAACAAGCTCTGGATACAGGCCACTCGACTCTACGGACTCATCCGAAGGCAGAGCTGAGAGCGAGTGGCGAGTAGGCAGAGGAGTGGCCTGAGGCGAGGAGTACGTGAAGCCGAAGCGCTGAAGGACCTGCTGCACCATGTGTGACTGAGTCAGGGTAATGGTCCGGCGTGCTCTGTCCCGGGTGATCTGCAAGCCAAGGTAGCTGCGCAGTTCACCCAGGTCAGTGCACGTGTGTCTCTTCAGCAGCTCGGACTTCACGTAGGCGAGTCCAGTAGTGTCAGCTGTGGCAAAGACCAAGTCATCGACGTACACGAGGATGTAGAACGGCGACAGAGAGGTGTCGGTGCGCAGAAACAGCGACGGGTCGGCAGTAGAAGGAGCGAACCCAATAGCCGCAAGCGTAGTCCTCAGTGTGTCGTGCCACTCACGTGGCGCCTGGCAGAGACCGTAGACTGGACGCCGGAGACTCCACTAGGTACCAGGAGGGAAAGACCCAGTGAAGCCAGGTGGGCGGCGCAGCTAGATCTCCTCGTGCAGGCTGCCCTGCAAGAAAGCTGTGCTGAAGTCGAGAGAGTGCAATTCGTAGTCCCGGTGAGCAGCAACGTGCAGCAGTACCCGAAGAGTGGTCATCTTCAGGGTGGGGGAGAAGGTCTGAAAGTAGTCAACTCCCTGCCGCTGACTGAAGCCACGAGCCTGTGAAGATAGGTAGGTAACGATAGTAGCCATAGCTAGGACTAACCTAGCTAGGCAAGAAGAAGTTAGGCAAAAGAGGGGTTGTACTAGCAACCAATGAGATACAAATATGCAACCCTAAGGGGTTATACTCGCTATAGAGTACCCCACTGCAGGCTAGATAACAAATATAACATTCTGACACACCCCCATAGCCAAAGTGGGGTGTAATCAGCAGAGCAAGCAAAACAGAACAAGCTCAGGGTGGATCACAATGTCACCACACAGTCTGAGCACAAGTTCAAGCAGCAGTAGTATAATGTTCACAGTTATAAGCAAAGCTAGAGGTAGTCACAACGGGCAAGTGAGGAGGAGGAGAGAGACTGAGAGGAGAGGAGATAGGAGGCGACGGATGAAGCTGCAGACACATGGGCAATAGGAGGCAGACTGGCACAGCGGCTACCGGACGAAGCTCCCGGACTACAGGAGTAACTGGCCCCGCGGCTAAAGTAGCAGCAGACGAGCAACGGACCCACGGGCGGCTGGCACAGCTGGCTACGACTGGGCTACCGGACGAAGTCCCCGGACTACAGGTGCTGCTAGCGACACATCGGCATCCTCCATTCAGCTTCCCCAGACTGTCCTACTCCCCCTGGCACACACCCACTGCTACACTGCTAGCTCTCCTCCCCTTCCCCCCCCCTTAGTATCACTCCACCGGCTCCACCACAATCACCCCCCCCCTCAGCGGCAGCTGCAGCACAAGGAGACGGAGGAGGAGGAGGAGCAAGGAGTGGTACTAAGGAGGGTCACCCCCATACCCCTCACCCCCAAACCCTAAAGTAGGAGAATGGGGAGTAGGAGGGGTAGGGCGGTAGTAGAGGGACTGGGAACAGCGGGGAGGGCAGGGAAGGTAGGAAACGAGCCCACCACGGGCCTGGTAGGGACGCCCGAGCCGCGCGCAGGCGGCCCGAGCCGCGCGCGGGTCGGGCGTCTCCCGTACGGGCCGCGCGACGGCCTGGCGCAGCCCGTACGGGCCGCGCGCGGGCCTGGCGCAGCCCGTACAGGCCGCGCGCGAGCCTGGCGCAGCCCGTACGGGCAGCGTGTGGGTCTGGCGCAGCCCGTACGGGCCGCGCGCTGCCTGTACGGGCCGCACAGAGGCCACGACGGGCGACGGGGGGCGACGCGGAGGTCCCCGTCACCCGTCACAGCGCCTCCCGGGAGCGGCGCGCGGCGTGACGGGGCAGAAACCAGGACGGGCGGCGCGCGGGCGGCTAGGGGCCAGGACGGGCGGCGCGCGGGCGTCTAAGGGCCGGGACGGGCGGCTAAGGGCCGGGACGGGCGGCGCGCGGGCGTCTAAGGGCCGGGACGGGCGGCGCGCGGGCGTCTAAGGGCCGGGACGGGCGGCGCACGTACGGTTAGGGGCCGGGACGGGCGGCGCGGGGGCGGCTAGGGGCCGGGACTGGCGGCGCGCCAGAAAAGAAAGAGGCCGCGCGCCCCGAGGCGCGCGCCAAAGTGCAAATCGCCGCGCGCCGTAGGCGAGATTGAAAATGCGTCGCACGCCACGGGGCGTGCGACAGAGTATGTGGCAGCGGAAGCAGTAGTACCCACAGGCCGAGAGCGTAACCGCTCTGATACCATGTGAAGATAGGTAGGTAACGATAGTAGCCATAGCTAGGACTAACCTAGCTAGGCAAGAAGAAGTTAGGCAAAAGAGGGGTTGTACTAGCAAGCAATGAGATACAAATATGCAACCCTAAGGGGTTATACTCGCTATAGAGTACCCCACTGCAGGCTAGATAACAAATATAACATTCTGACAGAGCCACGTAACGCGTCTTGAAGACAGGCGGAGAACCCGGCGGCCGCTTCACCCTGAAGATCCACATGCCACTGACGATGTTCGCCCCAGGAGGGGGGACTGCGTCAACGTAGGTGCCTGTGGACTTCCAGGAAGCCATCTCTGCATCCATAGCTGCCTGCCACTGAGAGG